CAAATGGCTATTAGCTTTACCAATACAGGGAGATAGCCCAAGATTTTAGAGAAGCAGCTCCCCAACACACTCACAGACACTATGCTTGAAAATCTTGGGCCATCTCCAAGCTTTTCTATGGAGCCTCTATAAAAAATCAGGCTTGGATTCCATTTTGTTGTCATTCTGCCATGGATTTCTCCATGGGAAAGGTGCTCCTGTCCTCACTCTCAGCACTCAACCTGCACTGTAGAGTCTGGTAGAGGAGTGGGTGGCTCTGCATGAAGACTGGAGCCCCCAATTCAAAGTTTCAAAGGAGAATTGTTGGCTTGATGGCCCCAAAATGGAGCAATTTTCATGCCAGTCGACCAATCAAATGAGTAGTAGAGAAGCGGTCGCTTGCTGCTTTCGTAGTAGGACTGTCTCCATAGGATTCATTGCTCCGTGAAAAGGCTCCGTGGAAGAGCCAGTGGAAGAGCCAGTCATCAGTCATCGATCGATCCGTCGAACGAAGATCCGTGGAACGGAAGAAGCTTGTTGCCGTTTCCAGTGCCATTGTCGAGGCGTCGCTTGTTGTTGTGGTCGCTCCGTGGTAGCGCCATGGTCGCTCCGATCGACCGCTCCGTGGAAGAGGAGTCGTCATGGTTGCTCCGTGAAGAGGCTAAGAAAGAAGAAGTCATCCGTCGAACGAACGAACGACCGATCGAACGGCTGCCGCTGTCGCTTTCCAGCCTAGCCAACCAAGAGGAGCCTGTCATGGTGGTGAGTAGTAGCCTTTGTTAAGAGGAGTAGCCGCTGTAAAGAAGAGGAGGAAGCATCATGTTGATAGAGTAAAGATAGAGGTATCGAACGGAATAATAACAAAAGAGGAGGATATGAGTGGCTTGGATCGATCGAACGATCCGAGTGATGTCAGTTGAGATTAAGGTTAAGGCTCCATATGTCCATTAAGTCTTTTCAAGGAACGTTCCAAGAGGTTCCGGTTCGCATTCCAATGTCTTACCGGGAGCGGGCTTGCGTTTGTCTTGATAGCTTAGATTCAGCCTGTAGCTGCAAGAGATCCAAAACTGAGTGCTAATGAAATCGATGTCGAAATACAAAGCTACATGTACCTAGTAGTAGACTTTGCAGGAACAAAGTGAGTTATGAACAATATTTTCTGCACAGTCAGGCCTTGGAGGTGTCAGATTCTGAATGGTTACGAAGATAACGAGCAACAGAAGTTGTGACGCCAGCACCTTGGTCGGATCGTCAAGGAAGAGAGTTGCTTGATACGAGATCATTGGCTAACATGTATTTTGAGAGAGCAAACTCACTGACTAGCCAAACCTAAATAATGATTGTTGACACTACTTGTAATAGAATTTAAATGTACAAGTGGAGCTGCAGTACTTGCTTCTCTTTTAGCCAATTGGGTAGCTAGATAGGAAGCGCTTATCGAATGGCCGGAACGTCGACCAGAGTCTGGATTTGATTTTCCAACGAGGCTCGCCTTTGGAGAAGGGCATCCCGTTCGCTCCGTTCCCGTTCCATCCACATGGCAGAGGAGGACATCATGAAGGACTCGCTCTTGTCTTCTTCGA